GACGCCGACGAATGGCCTGAGTAACATAATTGTTATGCCCTGCCTTTATCTCTCACTGTGCGCACCCCGCGTGCATCACCAGTACCGGGACGACTGGTTTACCTTCTGAGGGGGCTCGTTCGGGGGCTCCTCGGCGCGCCGCTTCAACGACTGCATCTCCTTCACCACGGCGCGATGGTCTGGGATGTGGCCGATGTGGGTCGCCTCCCTCAGGACTTGCAGATCCTCCTGGTCTGCGTTCGTGTGTAGTCTTGCATTGCACACCGCGCGCTTAGTGCACCTCCAGTAAATGTTCAAAAGCTTGAGGTTCTTTGAGTGCTGTGTGTACGAGAAACCTCCGCGACACATGGTCATCTTTCCCTTCTTTGAGCGCCTCAACTCTATTTCGTCACCCATGTCGCCTTTTGCCGCACTGTGCCAACAACAGCTGGGTGCCGAGTCAACGGCTGGGGAGCGGAGCGGCCAACAATACTCAGCAAGGAGTAGTGCACGCTTATCATCTTACGTTGGTTTTCGTGCGTAATACGATGATTTTCCATCGTAAGGTACGACCAATTTCCAACCTGCATAATACGCACGAATAGGCCTGTGCGATTGTTAAAAATAATCGGAATCGATCAATTACCCAAATAATCGAAATTTCTTTCGATTCGATGAATGAGAATCGAGAATTGAAATCAAACTCGATTAATTGAGTTAAGTCGATTAATCGAGCTTTTTCAATTATCTAAATGTGCCAATTAATCGAAACTATCGATTTACTGCGTATTTTCGATTGTTAGGTCGATTTTGCGTCCGTAACGCGCTTGTTTTATGGTTGCCCGCTGGAAAGCTGTGCTGAGGACGCAAAATAAATACAACAATGGTAGTACATCAATTGAGAGGTGTATTGAAAACAAAAACAAATTTTACAATATCAAAATACCGTATATACACCCATTGCAGTTCCACACAAATGGAGGAGAGGTGAATTGGAACAAAAGCAAAATGTTAAATTATTGAAATGTACAGTAGGTACAAGTAGAAAAGGAACAAAATGGCACAAATCACATTAGCTAAGGCTTCTTTAAATTAAAATTGCAGTTCAGATTCAGAGGTAGCACACACTCTTAAGAAGGCTTCTTGAGAAATTTTTTGTTTGAGGACAAAAAAATCAGAAGTTCCGAGTTTTCATCAGAGAGACAGCACCTTGTGTCTGTAACCACATTGCCACCGTCACTGAATAGTCTTTCTGATGGTGTGCTGGAAGCCATGATGGATAAGTACTTCTTTGCCAGTTTTTGGAGCAACGGGTAAGAGTCTACCCTCTCGCGCCACCACGTCAACACGTCTTCGCCCATCGAGACCGCCGGGATGTCAGAGTAGCGTCCGAGCTCCTCCAGGAACTTGTTCTCGGGGGTAGGTTCTCGTGCACCTGCCACGCCGTCGTCGTCTCCAGCACCACACCGGCGCTTCTTGGCAAACAAGCCTTCGAGTCCTTCGCCACTCCGTCGTTTGCGTGATGCCTCCGCACCCACACCACCTTCCTCAGCAACAGCTGAACAAAAAGTAAAAAATAAAATTAGAGTGGGATGCAATGGTAGCGCTCATGGATAGCATAACAATGGTACTGCAACAACAGTTATTCTACCTTCGAGAGATTCCTTGAATTCCTCGCGAAGCAGCTCCTTGGCCAATTCTTCCTCATCAGGATTGAGTTCTTTGCGGTATCTCGGATCGAGAAAGGAGCACCTCACCAGCAGTTTGTGCGTCTTTACGGCACACCTGTGGGCAAGCGCGCCGCAGCAGCCCTCTGTGGGGTCACAGGGTTGCCACGCTTTCAGAATTTCGGATTTCCCTGACATTTCCAGGTTTTCCAGAGGCTTTTTTGCCATTTTCCCTGACATTTTGACCAATTTTTCGAGGGAGTAGTCACGCGTGGGAAGGATGTGCAAAAAGAGGAAAAAACATCAACAAATGCCGAGTACAAAAATGAACTTTATTTCGTCATTTTGAAGGGAACTTACAAAATCACAGAGTGAAAACATAAAGAATTAAATTTTACAGAGTTTGTTCGTCATTATCAAGTGAACATACAAAATCACAGTGTGGAAAAAAATACATAAAAAAAATAACACTTTACAGAGTTTGTCTTAAATTCTAAGTCTTTTGGGCGCAGAGAATTGCAATCTCATCATCAATGCTTGACTTTTGCTTCTCCAGATCCGCAGTGACCTTTCTCCTTTTTTCTTGAAGCTCGTGAATTTGGTCAGTCAAACGTTTATTTTTCAGCCTTTCTTGATCGGTTTTCTCTGACTCTCGCCGCCGTTCTTCAAGGGAACTCATGTACTCACTTCTTGACAATCGCACTTTGCTTATCATCTCTTTGGTTATTTTAACACTTTGAATGCCACCTGCGGCCATCACTCCATCATACACTTGGCGCTGGGCCACCAAGGAATCATTTTTTTGGTTTTCTACTTCAACCTCCCTATTGACACTAAAGCCACGTTCCAAAGAGGCATTCCCGTGACTGAGCCCTAGGCAAAGCTTCACAAAGAGCTTCAAATCTTGAGAGCACCGTTTTTCAGAAAGAATCTGCATCCAGAAATCGTCCAAACGCTTTACTCTTCTGTCAAAATCCTTGCACTCGTCATGAATAGCCCGTGTGCCAACTAAATCCAAGAACTCCTTTGTGATCTGATCACATTGCCTTGAAGATAGCCACTTCCTTTCAACAAACTGAGATAGAGCAAGGCGGAGACGGACAGAAATTGTGGTCGAGCCCCGTTGACGGCTTCCAATCAGGCCGGGATCGAGGCATGAGATACCACGGCAAAGGCCGTATGCTAGTGGACTCTTTTCAAGTAGCTTAGTGCACAGAGATTTCAAGAAAGTCCTGCAATCATTTTTGAATTGTAACTTTTCTAGCTCTGTGGCTTTGGATTTCATCAGCGCATCCTTCACTGAAAAACTGAATGAGAGACTTATGTCCTTGGCTGTGATCAAATTTTTATCATCAGATAAGTCAACCTTGTGAAGGTCATTGTTTTCCGCAAGAACTTTTTTCTTGACGAAGATTTTCATGAGATCAGTCAGAACCCCTTCCAAGGAGCAGAAGAGAAATGGGGCCATTGGTTTATCTGACTGGAATTCCGTCAGAAAGGGCTCAAGCATGTTTGCAATACTTGCAAAGAATGCTAACTTGGAAGTCAATAGATTGTCCTTCAGGGCTGTCTTGATCGTTTCATACGACGGAGTAGTTACATTTTTCTTTTTTTGGCTTTCCTCACTCCCTCTACATATTTCTCAAGATTAGGCAAGATGGCAATTGCTCGTTCAGCTACAGCAGCGTTATGAAGCCACCGCACCGCACAGAACTTCAGAGGGAATTCTTAGACTTTGAAAACACAATGTAATCATGTCTACGAGATGGAACATTCTTGAAGAAATTGTACATTGACCGCAACACATTAACAATGCCCCAGCCAGCACTTTTGGCTCCAGTCTTGAATCCCCCATTGACAACATGAAGACCACAAGAACCCATGTACAAAAAAAGAGGGTCTTCAGGGTGATTTTTGGCTTTCATTTCAACCTCTAAGTCCTTTATAAGCTTAAGATTAACATTTGGGCCGTCCATAGATACATTTAACAGCCCTTTAAAAAAAGCAGGCTTCAATTGTTTAAGAAAAGCATCCAACAAATCTTCTGCAGTGGTATGGCCCAGAAATGCAGAGGAGAAATAGCGAACAGAAAACCTATTGGTTTCATTGTCCCAAAACCCAATGGCAAAATCCATCTGAGGTTTTGGGAACTCTTGTTCAAACTCTCATCAAAAAATGCAGTTACAAAATCACTTTCCATGGCTTTCCTAACAACTACGTCATGAAAAAAAGGCCCCAAACCATGATTTATCACGTACCCCATTTTGGTCCTGCCCAGTTGCAATTTACTAGCTATCTGGCTATCCGGTAACATAAAAGGGAGCAAACTGATACACTGTCCGGCAGCAGATTGAGAGACATGATGAAGCACACTTGCCAAGCACCAGATGATCTCTGCGCGGGTGACTTCTTCACGCTGAATCCAGTGGGAAAGACCGTGTGGTGCCTCTGTAGTGCCGCCCGCAGGTCTCAGCGAAGCAGTAAGTTCACCGGAAGCAGCAGTAAGTTCACCGGAAGTAGCAGCAGAATTCAACGTCGCGCGATCCGCCGTCGCCACTCCTGGATCCGTTTCCGCTGCAGTAGGGCCAGCCGACGCCGGAAGTGCAGATGACTCCTGTAATCGAAAATTTGCGGTTACGGAAGAGAAGAAACACGCCGCGAAGTGTACGAGAAAATACAAGCGACTTACCTTCTCTTTCTGTGTTGTAAAGAGCTGCATGCCATAACTTCCCGTACAGTTCTTAAACTTTCCAGTATGCTTCTTGCCCTCGACATGGCTAACTACAGCTTGACGTCCCATGTTGCTTAGGCCGAAAGTTTTCATACACAATGAGCAATGGGCGGAGTATGGGTCCCCTTCCTTCCGCCTGATAAACTTGAACTCTGGGACCTGAAGCCAATCATCTTGGAAGGTCGTCTTTCCCGCAATCTTTCTAGAAGGCGGCATCTTGAACCGTGCATTGACGCCTGAAAGAGAACAGAACGCTGCTACTAATGCACTGTTCCGCTAGACAGTACCCAACAGATAGGGTCAGTAAAACTTAAAACTTACCTAAGCGATGGTCGAGTTGTCAAACTATGTTTCTTTGCACTACGCCAGAAATCGGACACGCGCCAGCCTGTCTGACGCCCAGACGGCGGGAGAGCGGGGAAGCGGGGAGGTGGGGACAGCCGCAACAATGCTGGCTACTGCGACGCGGCAGGCGAGGGGATAGGAGGGAGAGGGGGGGAAGCCGAGCGCAGTCGGCGCGCGGCCGGCGGCGAGGGCACGAGGAGGGGAGGGAGTGAGAGAGAAAGACGGGGCACGTTGTTACGTCGGAAACTAAAACTTCGCATCCAGCGGGCGGCCACATTTTGACTTTTTGGCAAAAAAGCTCGGATTTTGGCCAGTCTTTCACGGATTTCCCTGACATTTCCAGGTTTTCCCGGTTCTCCCTGACATGGTTTCATTTTCCCTGACAATTCCAGGTTTTCCCGGTTTTCCAGGTGCGTGGCAACCATGGGTCATTTTGCTCAGCTCTACTTCGTCAAGTGGTCTATTAGTGTATCGCTTTTGCAGCTTCTTGACGATGTACTGCCGCAGTTTCGCTGGCCGGAGTTCCATTTCATCAATGTTTTCTGCACCATCGTCCTAAAACATACAAACGTATAAAAACCCATGTTTAGGTTGCAGTTTGCCTGCATTCGTGCTCAAAACAACGATGATTTTGCTGTGACCATTACAGAAAAAACATCAGTGCGTATTGCTTACCAAAATATCCAATGGAATCTCAGGTGGATCGTCGTCGTCCACAAAGCCTGCCTCGCCTCCATGAGGTGCACAACTGGTAGGACAGCGCTGGCTGTGATGTATGTGTCTCCACATAGCTTGGTGCATATCTCATAAACAGGCTTCAGAGCCCGTACAACCGCCCGTATAACAAACATAGTTGTTGGTCCTAAAAACAAACAAAAATATTTGAAGGAAAGTTGTGAAGTACATACACAGAAAACAATCCCATAAATTAACGACACATAAGCTTACCTGGGATTTTCCGCAGTCTCTAGCCCTCTGGTATTGAGCAGCGAAAGACGACATGAGCTCATGACACTCCAACAAACGCTCAAATTAAATAAGCTCTGTCCACCACCTTGTTTTTGATGTAGAGGGCAGGGCAAGGGGCTTTCTGCCGTGCTTTTCCTTAACGAATTTCTCATACGCGGCCCAAACACTTGTGGTGGAAATCCAGCTGAAAAGAGTCTTCACGACAGCAATTGCTTCTTTCACAACCTTCAACTCGAAAATATCGGTAACCCCATTCTGGATTGTGTGGCCAATACAGCGCATATGGGGCATTTCCAGCAACTCAAGTGCAAGCCGATAGTCCTCAGCATTGTCTGTCGTGACGGCCGGAATCTTGTCCTTCTTTAGATCCCAATGGTTCATTTCATCACCAAAAAAGTCTTTGAGAACGAGCCCGGTGTGCTGCACGTGGGAGGCTCTGCATCGCAGCGTGACACCAAACAAATTCTCCCAGGCCTCATCGATGAAGTGGGCAGTTAGAAAGGTGAATGGCACGTCGGCGTCCGACGTCCAATTGTCTGAGGTCAGTGAGTAGAACTCTGCATCACTTAGCAGCTGCCGCACAACATCTTTCACCTACAAACAATTTTAATAAGAAAGAAGAAAAAGGAGAAAAAAAACAGATTAGACAGAAAAACAGACATACCTGGTCCCCAAGCTGTGGGATATACTTGTCCGTTAGAGCCCGACGGGTGAGTACCTTGTAACCAGGTTTGAACGTCTTAAGCATGTCTTTGAAACCTTCTTTCTCCACAGTGTTGAGGGGTCGTTGGCATGTGACCACATAATGTGCTACGGCACGATGAAACCTCTCTGTGGCCTTGGAATCAGGTGCATAAGCTTCCATCGACTCCTGATAGGTACTACATCTCTTTGCTGATGATGATGGTCGGGTTCTGAAAGAAAAGTAAAAAGGACATTTTAAGGAGGGTGAGTCCTCTACACTGAGCAGGGAATATAAGTCCCTTGTGCGAGGAGGAGCGACGGACGAGCGTCGGCTGTAGACTGATTCCGAGAGTCACTTTCGTCGCTCTGTCTCTCTCGCACCTATGGTGGACGCCCCATGAGTGAGTGCGAGAGGGACGGAGCGGCGAGGTTGACTCTCGGAATCAGTCTGCTGCAGCCCCCGCACAGTGGGCCAGAAGACCGACGAAGGCTTTCAAAATTCTGGACGCGCTTTGAGCTCCAGAGTTGCTAAACAGGACTCGAAACGAACGTGTGACCCCACCAATGGATTGCTCTCCGAACGAGAAATCCATTGGTGAAATCACACGTTCGGTTCAAGTCTTGTTTAGCGACTCTGGAGCTCAAAGCGCGTCCGGGATTTTGAACGCCTCCGCTCCGCCGGTCTTCTGGCCCACTGTCCGATGCACTGCACTGAGCACGCATGCAAATTGCAAATGTTCGAGAGCACTCAAAGCAATTTTTCTAAACTGTCTAAGGGAGCGCATTCAGTGAGCAGCACAACGCAACAGCAGACTGATTCCGAGAGTCACTTTCGTCGCTCTGTCCCTCTCGCACTACACCCGGGACGCGTCATGAGTGCGAAAGGGACGGTTTGGCGAGAATGACTCTTGGAATCGGTCTGCTGAGCGTTTCAGAAGATCAGTTTGTCGCTGTCTCTCTCGCACCCTTACAGAGAGCCCCGTGAGTGCGAGAGAGACAGAGCGACGGAACGACCCTTCTGAATCGCTCGGCTGCAGTGGCATGCAAACGAAACAAAAAAGTTCCGCCAAGGCAAGCTTAGCAAAGCGGTCTTGCCGTGGACCGGCCGGGGAGGCCGGGCAGAGAGGGGGCAAGAAGGGTGGGGGTGGCTGTGAGGAGTGGGGACTGGCGCGGCGTGGCGGCGCAGGACGACGACAGACGACGACGACAGACGACGACGACAGACGACGACGACGACCAACACGACCATGCAGTCCCCTCCGAGCCCGAGCGCGCTGAATGGATGGATGGGTGGATGGGATGGGATGAGTGGGATCGGATGCAGAGCTAGAAGCGGTAGCAAGACCGCTTAAAAATGGGCTCACCTTGTTGGAGCTGGTGAGGCAGGAGGCGAAAACGGTGCTGGGCTAGGAGTGCCACGCGATCCGCTGGTGCTACTTGGTGTCGGTGAGGGCGAAGGTGAGGGCGAAGGTGACGGCTGTCCTTCGAGGTTCTCGTTGTTAACAGCATCTTCTTCGGCGTCTTGATCTTGCTCTTGTCCTTGTCCCGCCGTCGTCAAACCTCGGTCAGCTTGCATCTTCAAGTACGCAGACACATGTTGAGTCCTAAGGAGAGCCGTCACATTGGACGTGTTGCTGTTCTGCGTCGAAATAGTAGCAGGGCAGTAATTGCACTTCGCTCTGTGTCCTGGCAGTAATGTGAAATGACTCCACACAGGGCTCTTTTTCTTCGAACTCTGCATTCTTTCATCCGTTCTGGAAACTGCAGTGAGGAGAGAGAAACATAGTTGAGGTTAGGTTACCGGCACCGGCAAGCAACAGCAACTCATTTTTCCCACTCTCACGTCACTAACCTGGTTGTTGTCACTGCCACTCTTCAACTTCAACGAAACAACGTGAACAAGACGCGGCGCACTCTCAACAAACCAATAACTGAAGCCTGGCTAAGGAACAAACAAGCCAAGCGTACCGCATTCGACGTGTTTGTTCGTGCCGAGCGAGCGAGCCGGGAGAGACACGCAACAACACGCCGCGCCGACGCCGCCAGCCAGCCAGCAGCCAGCCGCACGCCGCCAGCCGCCTGCCAGCCGGCCGCCGCGCCGAGCCGAGAGCCGAAGCCGAGCGGCGAAGCCGGGCTCGGGGCTCGGGTCGGGTCGGGTCGGGCTCCGGCCGAGACCGAAGCCCGAGGCGCGCCGCGCACGCAGCCCGCGCCCGCGGCTCGATTTCCAAACTAACCGATTAATTGACAATCGACCATTAATCGGAAGTGGGCATCAATTGATAATCGATTAATAATCGATCAATGAGTTGATAATCGAAAACGCATTCGATTACGAAAAATCGAATCGAGACTTTCAAATTCATCGTCAATTAAAGAAATAATCGACAATTATTGTCAATTATTCGATTAATCGCACAGGCCTACGCACGAATGTCAACGTAAGGTACGCAGGATTTTCAACGTAATACGCATGTTTTCAACTTATTACGCACGTTGTCAACGTAAGGTACGTTGCACTGTTAAAAATTGTTGTTTTAAAACAACAACACAATTACCAACCTCGACAACGCTGTTGTTTGTGAACAAGTTTGCTTGTTTTAAAACGACGAATTCGTTGCTAATTATTTTTATGACTTATGCTGTTTCAAAACAATATTTTGCTGCGTACAAACAACCCGGACAATCTAAGAAGTAGTTACTGCGGGGTAACCGGGTCTCTACTAGGTCTGTGACCTAATCGGCAATAAAAATTGATGCAAATAAGGCTGTCTACCGGTTTACAAACATCTTGTGGACGAACGACGCAACTCGTTAGTAAACAACGAAAGTCATTTGAAAACAACTTTGATCGCTAAGAAAATTAGCAACATATTTACTGCTAAATTACAACATAATTTTTTACAGTGTGGTTGCGATTATAGTACGATGACATTTCAGCGTAATACGCATGTTTTGATTTCAGCGTATGTTACGTTCGCGTTACCATTAGTAATGGAGACATCTAAATTGCAGGACAGATAGGGCGCGGGACATAGCCAGCCGGGACATTTTGTAGAGGCCATTACCTCATTGTCACGAAAAATTATTGGACAATACGCCGCGGTAAAAGGCATTTTGTACCGGCCATTTCTTCCTGACACCTTCATGGTTCAGCTTTTTGCACTTAGTACAGAATTTTTTGAGTATGGCGGCATTGTTCATCAGTGTGGTTTGTTCTCTTACAATATTTACAGGGTTTCTTTGAGTGACAGTCTTAAGGTAGATGGCCTTTCTTCTTACATTTGTGGCAGACAATTTTGCTCTTGGAGCTGTATTGGGTAGCACTAAATGCGGATGGTTGAGTTTCTCCCTTTAGAGCGTCCACCTTTCCTTCTTCTATTTGAAGTCTAGCGCACAGATTATCCAGAGTCTCTTCGGCCTGCGCCATGGAATCCCAGGCTAGAGCTCCAAAATACCAACGAAATTCGTCAAAATCTCTATAAGGTACAGTGAATTCTCAATGGTATGTTACGGAGTCAGCTGCACCACCATAATATGGAACATTTTCACTGTACAACATTTAGAGTGCAATGAGCACGAAGAAAATGGTCAGCTTTTGGAGGTGTAATAGTACGAAGAGCTGAATTCCTTTCCATTGCCAGCCAATGCAGAGTTCGCAGAGTGGCGTGGGCGATGCGAGCGTGCATCGTCGCCGTCATGCTCAACACGCGGCTGCCGTGACATCTTGCGCTTGGACAACACATCCCGTCCACGCCCGATGCCATCGGGCCGCCTGTCCGACAGTCCCAGCCTCGCGACGAGAAGATCAGTCGCGAAGTGGGTAAGTAACGGCATGTCTATGGGTGATTTCGTACGCGCGGGCGAGTCACAAATTTAAAAAAAAAATGGAACTTTCATTTCTGGGGCAAGTTTAGTCCGGTTTATTGGCTGGGCGATAGCGAAGCCCGTTACCGTAGAACGGGGTAATTTGAGACATGAAGGAAAATCGAGACAAAGCGCACTTTTTTCGGTTTTTGTCGTGTTGCCCTCTAGCCGTTGTTCAGAAGACCACCGTGGATTTTTTTTCGTGATCTAGGAGGCCGTGGCAGCCCACAGGAAACGCACGAAGGCTATCAGAGACTCGCCAGGATCATTTAGAACCAAAGGAAAAACCTCTTAATTTTAACAAGTTTTATAAAGTTCGTAAAAACCTCCCCAGAAACCTCGGTTAGAACTTGGGTTCTCGTCCGAACGAGGTTTAAATCTGTAGGCAATTATGTCAACATAATCGGGACAAAATTTGGTTCCGTTATGTCTACTCTCTGGCTGCCTGTTCCAGATAGAATACAATTTTGTTACCTTGCAGGGAAAATAGAGACATCTCTTTTCGCTTGAAACATGAGGCCAAACTTACTCCACTGTTAATAATTTCAAGAAATAATGATTTTAACACGAATTTGTTTTACTATCTGACCGGCATCTATGCTCTTCGTTTAGTATTTTCATGTGACAGGCACAACTCATGACTTCTTATACCTTTTTCAGCTCTCTTTAGTGACACCCATTTTTCTCCCCTCCAGATTTTATATCGTCTCCATTATAGTTTCCAATCATCTTTAAAATGAATGAAAAGAACTTAAAAAGCTCCAAACCCGCCTAAATGATTTCATTAGCCATACTTCTTTAACATTTCTTTCTTTTGTCTCATATTACCCCACATTGCAGGGAAATATGGGACGGCATTCCGAGGGTTATTGAAAGGTCCCTACTGCACCCAAAAATCTGAAATTTGGTGGGAGTGTAGCCAAAGGGTCAATGAACAAGTGATGAACACCTCAGTACCTCAAATTGAAATTGGAAGGGGAAAATTCACAAAAAACCTCGAAATTTGTCTCATATTACCCCGTTCTACGGTACGCGCTCGGGGTTGTAAAACTTTTTCGGTGTGTCCGTCTGTCCAGACTACTACTCCTGAACGGCTCAGCCGATCCGGCTGCGATTGTGCAGGGTCATTGGCTCGCCTCACCCCAAAACTCAGCTTTCTATCTCAAAGCATTCAGTCGTAACGACAAAAAAAAACCACACACACTTTAAATACGCCTGAAAAAGTAGACTTTCTATTGACTTTGACTGAGTATTAGTTCGATTCCCCTGGTTTGAAGGCTGCTGATAACGAAAATGAAATCCATTTTCACCCCCAACCCAGGTTTGGCCCACGATGGGACCAACCTCGACCACAACTTTTAACCCCAATGAGGCATTGCGTCCCACGTTACTGAGGCCAAATGTGTCATTCAGCGAATCCTCTGACTCCACATCCTTCTTAAGGGGAGACTGTGCTTTGCTCTTTTCGGTCCCAAAATCTGAAATTGGTTCTCCACGGAAATGACTTTTCAAGATCTTTGTCAATCCGGTAAAACTCCGGCTCTCCCTAAAGAAATGTATTGAGAGTCTTTAAGGGGGCAGTAGCGTCATTTTCACGTGTTTTGACGATTTTCGAACCTCCTGTTTAGACGTTAATATAAAGATAAGTATGAATGCCAGAGACAAACGGCAGGCACCATTTGAAAGATAAAAGTTTTTACAACATTTTCAAAAAAAAATATTTTGTTTTAGCATTGAATTAGGATGTTTTGTGTTCTATGCAAAAATGGTCTGCAAAATTACATAGTGTCACTGCGCGCACGATTGCAGCCAAAGTTTTTAACTTTTTACCAATCGGTAAAATGCATCTGAAAAAGCATGAAATTGCCCATAAAATGACCCTTGGGTTTCAATATTGGGCAAGAAAAACTATTGAAACGCTCATCTTCAACTTAAGATGGAAACGAACCACATTTTTTCTGGCCCAATATTAAAACCCAAGGGTCATTTTATGGGCAATTCATGCTTTTTCAGATGCATTTACCGATTGGTAAAAAGTTAAAAACTTTGGCTGCAATCGTGCGCGCAGTGAAACCATGTAATTTTGCAGACCATTTTTTGCATAGAACACGATACATCCTAATTCAATGCTAAAACAAAATATTTTTTTTTGAAATGTTGTAAAAACTTTTATCTTTCAAATGGTGCCTGCCGTTTGCCTCTGGCATTCATACTTATCTTTATATTAACGTCTAACAGGAGGTTCGAAATCGTCAAAACACGTGCAAAAGACGCTACTGCCCCCTTAAGAGCGGGGGAAGCTGTACAGAAGCGAAAAGGAGTTCTGCCATTGCTCGGGTTCGGCTACCCCCTCTCCCTTTCCTTTTTGCTTGATGAGTCGAGTTTTGGCATGGGAACAGTGATTTCGATGGAAAATTTCACAAAACGTGTCGTTAACTTCTTAACCCTATCTCAACTTTAGAATCACCGTTCAATCAAAGTTCTATTAGTCTGCAAAATCTCGTTAAAAAGCTATAGAAAATTTTCAAAATGCACAAGGGCCCACACGAATTGAATCTCGCGCCGGCTGAAACCTGGGGATACTACAAGTCTACTTCGTGCCTAAAGAAAGACAATTTTCAGTAAAGTCTCCCCTTAGAGGGTGCCACCAGCATAAGAGACGAAACGGAATGCTTGCGATTGCCGATGTGTTGTGTATGGCAATGTCAGGCAGCCTAGCCTCCCGAAGGCAGGCAAGCAGCGCAGGCCAAGGTGAATGTAAACGCCAGGCGTGCACTGCACTCTTAAAAGCCTACGAAGCATTTGCTTCAGAACTACGAAGAAAATTAAGGCGTTGTAGAATTGCTTCTTATTATAAAGAAATGCTTCGCATTGCGAAGGATTTTGCTTCATAATACGAAGCATTTCTTTGAAGATTTTGCAATGCCTTCATTTTCTTCGTATTACGAAGCGATTCTTCACAGAGTTTTTACTGTTGTCGTAGCGAAGCCTAATAAGCACACTAAATGTTATGTAGAATTTTGTACGTGCCACTTGCACGATTTTGTGCATGCGGGGAATTTG